ACACATGTGTCCCACTTCGTAGTCAAAGACACTACCACAGTTTTTGCACTTGTTGAGATAGTAGGGTCGAAACGTTGGCCGAAATAAAGATTCCACCTAAAAACCTCGTGGCGAAGCATAAAGAACACAATAATAACGAACATGCCGAGGTTTCAAGATGAGAGAGCCTGAAGTCTGTTCCTGTTGGGCTTATGTCACTGGTCCACAGTTCTTCACCGACGGCTAGGGATGAGAAGGGAAAAGGGAAGGTTATCCTCCCTGGGATGATGGAACGCGAGCGGGTGCCGTCAAAACACCAGTGAAGTCGTGGATGACTATTCCTGTTCTTCAAGATGCAAGGGTTCCTGTCCATCCGAACGTTGCATGCAGGTCACCTTGATCTTGAAGCCAGAGAAGCTCTAGCGGATGCTCCTCGCAGTGGCCGCTGCTTTTATGTCTTCTCTTTACGAAGCTCCGCATTCTTGAACGTAAATTAATAGTTGCGTGCAACTCCTGCGACTCCATGTTGGCGTGTTAGCTCAAGAGCTTCCTAACCACAAAACCGGTGCCAGGCCTTGCGAATCGAGCGACTGGCTAGTAGCGAATCTGTAGATCCGCAAAGTCTGGCACCGGCCTAAGAGCTTCTTGGTAACTTCTAAATCTCTGCCTCCCTAGCACTACAGTTTAGATATGCAGGGGGAGGAGCAAGAAGTCACTTTGCCCATGACCCACATGACAAACTTTTCCTCGTACAGAGTGCCACCACTGATGGAATTCTTGATATTTCTTAGATGAACCTTCATATGTAGAAGCAGGCCTTCCTTCACTACCCCCTTCAAGAAGTCACGTCATCTACCATTACCGTCGAGCAGTCACTCAACCGGGAGCAGTTACAGGATTTCTTCAATCGGCTAGTTGGTGGATATCTTCCTAAAGACACTAGCTTTGAAGGTGCAAGACTGCTTTTGACCAGCGTTTCAGATAACGTCGTAGTGGTCTATGATCCATCGACGGTTAAGCTTGGACCGTGCATCTGGTTTCCGTAGGGAAATTTTCTGATGCCATCGGATAGAAGGCTTTTGTGAAAGTTCCTCGTGATAGGATGGAAAGTGCTTTTCAATTTCCAGTTGAGATCGATTTGAATTCAGCAAAGAGGAATTATTCCGTTTTAAAAGTATCTGGGAGTGACTCCCCCTCCCTGAATGTACAGCAAGCCAGTGGTGATCTTGGTTGATGTTCTCAATCACGTGATAAAGGATAGGGCACAAGCATCCGTCGTCGATCAATAGCTTTGGGGATGCGCCACGCTTCCACTTTGTATCATAGTAGCAGCTTGAATGCTATGCATCTCATAGCGGAACTATCTACAGAGTGACTTTCAAGCCCAACGTAGATAAGGGTCTTCCAGAATTACCATAGATGATGTTTGTTTACCGACAGAATGACCTGAAATATCCTTTTACCGTGCTCATTCCATTTCTGTAAGTGAGACCTGATGTGAAGTTCTTCGTCTTACTTCTGGGGCTAAAGATGTCTGTGAAGAGAGTATGGTAAACTTTTCAAGGCTATTTCAATTCTATAGAAACCTCATGAAAAACGAAAACCCCGACATCGCTCTGGTCCTTATTTGATGTTGGCAAAATGTCAAGAAGACTGGCGAAAGTGAGTTGGACAGCTCTTCCAAATCAAACACTTGATGTGTGTTGTCGAAAGTCGTTAAGTTTACTTACAAATCTATGGCCAAAGTGTGGCTGGGAGCACCCATACTACGAACCTTTGCTGTTGCAGAAACCAGACCTAATTCTGTATCGGACACGGAATATAGCTAACAGTTTCTTCTCACCTTGGTCTATTCGACGACCAGGTCGTACCCCGTCCACAGTCCCTTGCTGTTGAACTCTAGCCATTTTAGCGGAGAAGGGAGATCAGAGCGCTCACGTTGATGACCTAAGCAACGATCTGACTTGTCCCAAGAGAAAA